TAACAAAATGAAGAACTTCTTTCAACAAAACAACATACATTACCTCAGTTAGAAATGATTTGTAATTTTGAAATAATTTAGATATTTTTTATGAGAAAACAATTTTTTATTTGAATTTAACATATTCTAAGTATATATTTTCTTCCATACTCCAATTCTATTAATTCCAATTACACTATTAGATTTTTAACCAATAACTGCTTCACATTTTTGCAGATTCTCAGTCTGATTTTCAGCCTGATTTTTGGTTCGATTTTTGGCTCAATTTTGCCCCTCCAACAATCTTGATGATGCCCCAATTATTGTGATTACTCTAAAGATAATCTTAGGGGATCTTCCTGCCATGTGTTGTGTGTTAAGAGTGATTTAGTCGGCTCGGAAGGACGTCAGGATTACTCCGACCTCAAATCGGGGATATTCAACATGTTGGATTGTCTTGGCCTGATATCCCAGTGTGTGKGGTGTCCCCTGAGGACAAACAAGCATGCAGCCTGTTGAATGGGACGTGTAGCCAATCAGACAGGGAGATGACAGAAACATGGAGGATAATCCAAAATAAAGAAGACAAAACAACTGCAAAGGTTCACCTGAGATCTATTGGATGTTGGAGACGTCTTTTTGTTTTGTTGATTTCTCTGTTAAAAATATTAATACAAACTATTGCGATTCCTTCTTCCTCTTCAGCAGTGTTTATTTACTCTGAACTCACATTTGATCTTGAGAGGTTTCATGATCTAAATGTTCATGAGGGAAGTCTGTTCCTGTGTGGTGGGTTGTCTTTGCCATTTATCTATGATTTTTTTTATCTTTGTGCGTGGTGTCTCTCAGTCTTTTTCTGTGATTGATGTTTCTGTGATTTACAGTTCAGTCRTTTTAAAAATCTTGCTGTATGAACCAGGTATAAGATAAACGTACAGAAGAAGTCACCAATGTATTAAAGTGCCTGTGAAATGAATTAAAAAAAACATAAAGGCGTTATTGGAAAGATAACAACAATAACATATTGCAAAAATAAATTTCCACTGCTGAGATGGACAGTTATTGAGATATTTGCATTTGAAGTAACAGGAAGTGATGTCTAAGGGGAATGTCTGCATTGATAAAATGGCTAAGGACACAGACTGTAGAGAAAATTCTGATGTTTCTTTAGATTATTTTGAGTCACCATCAAAGAGAGATGAAGACGAGTCAGAGTTCAAATAATATAATTTCAATAAACAAAGACTAGAGAGTTCTCTTTCTTAAAAGAGTTCCCCTTTGATGTCACTTCCTGTTTCASTTTGGATGATCCAGTTCAAAAGAAAATATGCCACTTATGTGACTAAATGGGTAAAAAAAAAAATCACGTTTTATTCAAGGTTTCTTGTATAAAAATGTGTTTTCTTGGACTTTTTGTATTCAATGAATAGGCATGTCACAGGCACTTTAAACATGTATTCATGTWTAATACCTACATGTATTAAATTTAGTAGTGCCCCAATACCAACATTTTTACAAGCACTTGTATGCATTCAAAATGCCCCAGTACCTGGAACCAGTACATATACTGGATTCAATACTAATTTGAATGGGTTCAGTTAACATTTCAAGTGAAAAGTTTGTTAGTTGGCCATCTGTATTTTTGTTATTTTTATTTAATTTAAGATGTTGCAACTTGCAACAGCATATATCATGCTGTATATTTGATTTGATACAGTCAGAGGGGTGATAGGCCTTTAAGGAAAGAAAGCCATCTTGTTCTAAAKAAAAGAAATGTGTTTTTAAAGTGATTGTGTGATGTTCAGGATATAACTCAGTAAGTACTCTGTAGTGGTAAGTGCCCAAACTTATGTACTCGTACTGTTATCAGGACACCTGATGACAGTAAAATAAACCATGAAACTCTTTCAGTTACACCTATGAATTAGTTTTTTTCCTGTCCTTATTTTAAAACTTATTCTTCTTCTTGCTTACTTTTTATTCCCTAATTTTTGTCTTTTTTTGTTTAGTGAGTGCTACAGCAGTCAGACTACATTGAGGCAAACAAAGGAAAGTCGGAGGGAACGATGGAGTCCATACTATCGGAGCAGTCGGCCACGGTGGACGAGCTGGTGGAAGCGTGCATCCAAGCCTTTGGTTCGTCACAGAAATTATTCATTACTGATGTTCACCTGAGTAGCTAAACTTATTTTCACATTTACTTCTATATTTAGAAATTAATAATTGTCTTTAGTAGTGTTGCAAGTTGTGAAAATTGTTATCAAGTGATGAAGAATGTATAAAATGTTCTGTTTAAAGATGAGAAAGGCACTTTGAAGGATGCTTCCTTGGTTCGCATGTTCCTCATGATGCACCCCTGGTACATCCCGTCTACTGAGATGGCCAAGAAGCTTGTGCTCAAGTATCCTCACTCTGTCCTCTTCGGCATATTTACTTTTTTTGGCTTTTGCAAAAAGGTAAAATGTGCGCAATGATGTTCTGTCCTGTGATTATGTTTGGTGTGTGTTCATTTGTCTGCTGGATGGTTTGTTAAACCTTTTAGAAAGTAATCATTGGATTAGGAATCAACCTAATTCAAGATTGCTGCTAAGGCCAAACAATCTACCAAACACAAAAGTGGGTTAAAGATAATTAGGGCTGCAACTAACGATTATTTTAATAATCGATTAATCTGGTGATTATTTTTTCGATTAATCAATTAATCGGCCAAATCATTAAAACACTTAATTACATAAATATGACTAGATATAAATTCATTTAATTCCTGTATAAATTAGGGATGCAAGTCATTGATTAATAAATTAATCTGAAGTTGATTTATCTTATAGATTGACTAACAGTTAATTAATAAGCAGCCATTTTCTTAAAAACCAGAGTTTTCTATTGAATCAAGAGGGTCTTTTCATAAAATGAAGGATTTTATAAAACATGCTAAATAAAAAAAAAAGAAGCACATCATGAATATTTTCACAATTGATTTTAACAGCTGTATTAAACACTGACTGGAAAAAATTAACCCAAAAACGTGGATTTCTCATGCATTAATAAACTTGGTTATCGCTATAAAACATAACAAAACAGAAATTTAATAGGTTGCTGAGTGAGGGAAAACAGATAAAACTAACAAAATATGATTTTTAGATGTAAAACTATTTTTAATTTTTTATTATAATTAAAATTTATTTGCATTTAGAATTGATGATTCTTCTCTAATTATTTACATTTTGCCTCCTTCTGGTTCTGTCTGATTGAATGACCCGGTTTTGAAGCAGCCCCCCCATCCCTCCACCTCCCCTACTGAGTCAGACCAGGAATTCTGCTGTGTCCCCCCGTCCTGAACCTTTTTGCTGTTTATCAAATAACTTTGAGCCTCGGTCAGAAAAAAAGATGAGGGTTTTATATTTCTGGTCCGAGAGGAGGAAAGACATGGTGGACTGAGGTCGACTGAGGTAGGCCTACTTTTTTTTTCACCACGGGACGTGCTTCCTCCTCGCAACGCGGCGCACATCAAATCAGACCGTCTTTTAAAAAAATTAAATGTGTCATATGCTTTTTATCATATCTGCAGATCTACTTGGCCTAAAAACACAATTTAAAAACTGGTTTAAAGTTCGAAGTCTCTGCTTTTCACTCGAGAGTCTCAGAGAAGGTGGATCTACAGGTAGTTTTTTTTCTTCCTAAACTAAGCTCAGCCAGCATTGACAATGCTCTGCGGGTGACGTAAATGGATCCGCGACACGGCGAGGACGCATAAATCACGGGACACAACAAATCGATATTGAAACTCGTTGCCAACGCTTTTAATAATTGATTTTTATCAATTTTATCGATTCTTTGTTGCAGCCCTAAAGATAATGAGTTGAAGTTTGGTGTCATAGCAGCTGAGAGCCATTTCCATACATGAACACATCCTCTGAGTGCTAACAGATTGTGAAAGATTCAGCAATATTGTGTGAGAGATTGCACATTCCTGTTTGTCTAAGGTTTTAACAAAATGACTAAAATTCCCTTATTTCAACAAAATATCATCTCAGTCAGGCAATGTGTATTTTTTTGTGTGTTTGGCTAAGAAAACACTGAGTATTGTAGGTAAGCTTGTCATTAGATGGTTTGGCTTCTTATTCGAGGAAGTCGTCATACATTTCAAGAGATTTACAAAGTTGGATTGAAAGCTACGTTTTGAAAACTTGTTGCACCTTAACCTGAGARCAAGATCTCAAGAGGAGAGCAGCAACGAATGTCAAACAAGAATATGCCACCTTGTCAGGTAATAATCTGTCTGTCTGATAATCATCTCATATTGATTCACTTCTCTGCTCTCTGGTTTCTCAAACTGTCATCACTTCATCTTTCCCCCCTAGTTCTTCTTTAATTGGTCTTCCTTTTATGTTTTTCTCCCCAAAGATTTTCACAATAACTGCAGTTCAGAGAAAAATTGCTAACGATTCCCATTTTTTTTATTTGGTGTAAAGTCTCACACATAAAATAGATTTATTAAAAAAGTTTTTAACTTATTACTGATGTGAAAAGAAGGAAACACTTTGGCCCAAACACTAATAATGTGGTAGAAAAAGACAGAAAACCCATTAATTTTACATAAAACCCCTCTCTGTGTAAGAATTCAGATGATGTTCAGCCAACCTGTCCCTTCTCAACCCTGTTGTTGTAGAAGAGGATTCCTTAGCTGCCATAGATGAACAGAAATCAGTTGGGAAACGCTGCTGACAATGCCAAATTGTTGCAAAAAGAGTGATGTACTTTTCTAGGTAGGAAAATGAAGTCAGACTGGGATTCTCAACAAGATATTTTGTGTCTTTTTATAATAAATACTTTGTCGTGGAAATATTCCACTAAGGCAGAAACACGTGAAGAAGACAAAATGAACTGTGTGGTTTGGTCGTCAAATGATTTAATAAGGTTGCAAATGCAAAAGACAGGAAA